GTCATGTTGCAGTTATTTTCATTACAGCAATAATCACTTCACATTCTATTAGCCATTTTTCCTGACAAGTTTTCAACCAATCCATGTGTTCTTTGAAGGCAGGAACCATTTTCTATTTACCACTATACACCCACAGCTTAGGGTACTATTTTCCCCATACAACTTGACATTTCTGCCTTCACTAATACCTCTGATGTCTGCCTCTCCAGAGATAGTAATTTATTTTTCCTCCTTAAATATTTGGCTAAAATGCATTTTCTCCATTAAAATTCCCCTGACTGAATTCACTTCACTGCAATCACTCCTTCATTTTATCGTGTCCTCAGGGATTGTAGAGGGTTCCTCCAACAAATACATTTGTGCTTGAATGGTTTAAATTCTATTCCTTCTTCTTGCTTAACAACCCTAAAATATCTGAGAATCACCTCCTAAAATTATCATAGCAATAATTTTTAAATTAATTTCTTTTAAAACACATATTTTTATATTTGGAGAAGTGCTCAGGCATCTATTAAATAGAACACAAGATCCTTGCCTTTCCCAAACCAAATACCCTTCCAGGGAGCAAAAGGATCAGAAAGGAAGAGCGTCAAGTCACCTGAAGTCTGAAGTCTACAAAGAAAAGACTTCCAAAAGAAGAGAAGACATAGTGGCAAGACTGAAAGCTTAAATTCCCCAAACCAAGGGAAGCCTCTCTCTCTCTCTCTCTCTCTCTCTCTCTCTCTCTCTCTCTTTCTCTCTCTCCCCTCTCTCCTAATTCATCTCCTTTCTTTCTTCCTTGTCCTAATGCTAAAAAGCAGTGCCACCCAGCTCCTTGAAAGGCCTTAGAAGAGCCAAAAAGATATCAACCTGCTCAGGGAGCTTTGGGGATAGATTAAACCCATTGCATTGTAGCAGTTCTGGAGAGTAGAAAAGGAAGATGGCACACCAGGAAAGTGCTTTTATATGTTATGGGTTTTAAAAGTTAAAAGCAAGACTAATAAGTAAAATTGGAAGGGCTATGCTACATTCATTTGCACTCCCTATGTTTCATGCTGCTTTATAAGTACTCTTCTTTCTCACTAGAGCTTGTACTTTCTCTAGCTAGACTATAAGTTCCTGGAGATCATGAAGCATATGTTTCTTTTTGCAGCCTTTAAATTGTCCAACATACTGAGTACATAGTGTACGCATGAGAAATGTTGTTGACCAACTGATTACTAAGTATTTAACTATTTTTCCTCTGGCAATTTTTCAGGAATGCTTATTATTCACAAAGCCATGGAATCTTGGAAGCCAAAAGGAAGTATCCATCTGTTGTTATACATTTTCTCTTAGCTATGCATTATACAGAGATTTCCTTTGGAAATATAAACAAAGGATGCCTGATGAGCCAGGACAAAGAACTATATATAGAGATCAAGTGGCCAGAGTAGCAAGGTCAAAACATGACCTTCCTTAACCAGATTAAAGGGAGTCTTAGGTCTGCCTCTACCGCCTTCTCATGTTCTCCAGCCCCAAAAGAAATTATTTCCAACTGCCTATTTACTGAATCCTGAAAGCTGAGCAGCAACTATAATAAGCTACAATCCAGCTAATAAATCTGTGGTGATCTTAATCTCTGTTTCTATAATAATAGGAAGACTGCAGCTTTGTTTAGTTTCTGAGGAGAATAGAGAACAAGGAGAAAGAATTAAGATGGGGAGGCTGTATTTATGCCTCTTTATGAAAAGTCAATCTGTGACAAAAAAACATTTGCAGACAATAAGGAAGGGGAACAGATTTGGCAGAAAAGTGGCCTATTCCAGTTTTCTCAGAAGTGCCTTAGCTGGTATCCTCCAGCCCTGTCCAATGTGAAATACCTGGTTTACACTGTGAATATAGTCAATCCTGGATTAGATAAAAAGAAAAGACCCAAATCACCATTCAGTGTTTGGATTTCATGATTAACAGTATCCTACTATTTATTTCATTTTATAAGGTATTTATAAGCATTTACGAGATGTAAAGTCCTTTCTTTAACTGCATTTCTAATCCTGGGGTTTGTCCTGAAGCCTTTTGGATATACAGGCTCTGTGTTGAATGAGTATAATAAGTACTCTGGATTCATCCTGTTATTAAGGGGAAGGTAAGGGCAGGCACATCTCTAACCTTCAGACGGGATGATGTCATGGAGGGCAGCCATAGTCTTCCATGAACCATCCTGGAGAGTTCCTGTCAAGGACAAAATTCTAAACTGAATAGACTATGGAATTAACTCTCAAAATACACTCTAATGTTCAACATTATTATATTATCCATTATTCTTTCTCAGTTCTTAGTTAATGTTGTTATTCCATTGTCTATATTTCCTGCACATGTGTATCTATATCAGGGTGGATTTTTGCATTGTGTAATCCCTCAAAGAGTAGATACTATGCCGATGTCATTTTCTTTGTTCCTGGTATGATGCCATGCATAAAGAGGTATTAGTAAAAGCTGACCTTTTGTGTAGACAATGGTTTTCATGATGGGATTTAACAAGCATTACCAAGGGTGTTTCCTGAATACCTACTTTGTTGGCTCATCATGGGGCTATTCTTCCCTCTTACTTTCCTTACATGTGGCAGCATTAGCGTCACCTCCTTAAGGCTCAGGAGAGAAAGCTAACTTCATAAAGGAACTATTAAAGCATCACCTGTTACTCAAAAGGCCAGAGTGAGTCCTCCTCTATTAACACAATGTGAATTATTTTATGAGAGTAGCTCCTGCCACTTGAGAGAGTAGGGCCCTGAATGAACATAAGGGATTGATTGCCAGGATGGACTGGGAAAAGCTGGAAAAGAGCTATGTTTGGGTGAGGCTGGCCAGAGTGGTAAGCTTCCAGAGGTGGAAGAAGAGATGTTAGAGAGATCCTAATGTGGATGAATAATGGAATTAAACTGCTAACTATGCTATTTTAACTTGGTCTGTATTTAATAGTCTTTTGATTAGAATGAGGAAGGTGAATATTTAATTTCTAACCACATTTTATTCACTATTAGCTGTTATTCCATCTTCAATCATGCAAATTCTAAACAGAGGGATCTGCTCTTCTCCTTATAATACTCCCTTGTCCCTTCACTAGTGTGGATTTCTTATACTGTAATCTAACAGCATAATCAGAACTTTTGATAGAATGGAACTAGAGAGATTCTGATTATCTGAAAATCACTCAGAAATACTTTCTATTTTGTTTGTCCCCCTTGGAAAAGATGAAACAGTAGAGAAAAAGAACAGAATAGAGAAAGTAATTATTCATAGAACTGTGACCTAAGAAATGAGCAAAGATACTGAAGGTCACAGAGTCAGTTCACCTCCTCATTTTATAGGTAAGGACACTGAGGCTAAGAAGCTAAATGACTTACATTCATAAACCAGTTCATAGAAGAGCCAAGTCAAGAACCCAGTTTAATAACTTACATTCCAATGTTCTTTCTTTCCATTCCTTATGCTTCCTCCCAAATCCCCCACTCCATTCTGCCATCTGACATGTGAGTTTAACCATTACAGAATACCACTCTGTTCCACAAATAGAGTACCCAGAGGGATTATATTGTAATAGTATGCTCATCATGTAAGTACATACACTCTATTGGAAGAAACCAAAGACATTAAGAAGTTCAAATGAGGTCCAGGAGTAGAGGCTCAGGCTTATAATCCCAGATACTTCTGAGGCAGAGATAGGAGGATCGCAGTTTGAGGCCAGTTGACAAAAAGTTAGCTAGATCCTATCTCAAAAAACAAACCAGTTACGCAGTACACACCTATAATCCCAGCTATTTGGGAGGTGGAGGTAAGAGGATCACAGTCTGAGGCCAGCCTGCGCAAAGTGGGAGACCCTATCTGAAAAACAAACTAAAGCAAAAAGGCTTGGGGCACAACTCAAATGGTAGAGCACTTGCCTAGCATGCTCAAGGCCCAGAGTTCAAACCCCAGTATCACAAAAAAAAAAAGAAGTTCAAATGATTGGGGGATGTGGAGTTACTCATATAAGAGGATTCTTTACCTTATAAGAAGGCTCTACACAGTCTCTTAAATAGGAATCCCTAACTGGGATTATAAGAAAATTACCTTATTGTTTAAAATAAAATAAACTTGAACTGTTACATTTATCTGTCACACAAGTAATATTGGAACTAGACTATCAGGCCCTAAACAGAAACATTTTCATCCAATCATAGCTAATGAAGAATTCTATAATGTTTTATCTGACCCTGTTTACACTTTATACCTTACCATAGTTGTACCACAAAATCAACACAAAACTAAATGATATAGCTGAAGCTCATGCATGCTCTTGAGAAAAAGAAAGGAATAACATCTTTTTATTATTATGTCCAGTCAAGGAGAGTTCAATTCCTCTTCTACTCTCTGCTCCAAGATTCAATGTTGGTAACAATTTTTTTAAAAACCTTATACTTGTGCAGCATTTTACAACTCACAGACAAGTTTAACATAGATGTTGTTTGTCGATGACAAGAATAAGTGGAAAGGTGATGAGTGAGGACCAGGTAGAGTACATGGTATATCTAGGAACTAGGGCAGGGGATGAAGGGAAGAGAGGAAGAAGAGGAGAAGCAGCCCCAATCATATTGTTACACAAATAATATTGCACTAAATGACCTACCCCAAAGACTCCAGATTCCCAACTTGCCTATGACACCCCTGTAATCTCTTTTAAGCCATGATAATTTCCAGTTTGAGGAAAGAAGAAACATACTTCCTGCCTGATTTTCATGCTATCTGCTGTTTAGAACGGAGAACGGAGCACTCCTCCGACTGTTGTTCCCCCAATTCATCACTGTCACCTATTTAAAAAAAAAAAAGCTATCTGTCCCTTTTCTTAGAACAAGCATCCTAAAGGAATGAGACTTCCTAGAACTACCATTCAGTCCTTCACTCCAAATAACTGAGCTACACTCTGACAAAATTAAAATTCCCTCCAAGGATTGCCCAATCCACAGGCCCTCTGAAAGAATTGTAAATGTTTCTGTTACATACCTCAACCTGCTGGCAGATCTGTATTAGTTTGGCCATTTGATTTTCTAGTTCACTGTTGCGCTTAACCAGGTTGGTGAGGTTCATCTCCAGAGTTTGCTGTCATTGCAGAGGGTGTGAAGCCAGCAGGAAACAGGAAAGAAGGGTGAAAGAACAATGAAGCTTGAGAATCAACATCATTGGTGATCAGTCAGTCAGTGGACAATTTTTTTTTTGCAATTCTGGGTATAGAACCCGGGACCTCACACATGCTAGCCAAGTGCTTTACCATTAACCACACTCCCAAACCATTAGACAAATATTTCAAAGACTCATTAAACATGTGCTATGAACCAAGAACTGGTCTAGGAGCTAATTAATAATGATGTACCTCTTCTCCAGACTGTCATTATTGGAGAAATGGTGACATTCATGACTTTGTATATTGGTTCAGGCATATACTGACATTAAAACAAATCAATGTTTTATAATATTAAATAAATTCTAACTTTTCAAAGTCATTTCATGGTTAAAATCTCATTTTCCTCTCAAGAAATCCTATAGCATATAAAAACAGGTATTATCCTCTCTTTTACAGATAAGTAGAGTAAGAAAACTGTATTTTATTGAATGATTACTACTTGCCAGACACTAGGCCAGGCAATTCCATATATACCATTTAATAATCATGAAAAGCTCATGATTTTTTTTCTGATGAGAGAACTGAATTTCAGGTGACGGTAAGGTTTTTCACAGTCATGTAACTAGTAGGCAGTGAATCTAGGACCGGAGCAAGGTTCTCTAGTCCCCTATTTTGACCCAGTAATCTATAACTTTTTGTCTTTTTGTTGATAACATTACATAATTATTAATAGGCTCCTTCAGGGAAAATGGAGATAGTATTTTGATTGTGAGATTTGTAAAAAATCAGACATTGAATCTCACAGCTTTCTTTTTCTTCGACACTAAGGCATTGCCCAAGAAGATGCTGGGCTTCAAATGCAAAGCATGATTGTATCAGGAAAGGATATGAATAGCTTACCATCACTTGTTGGTACACAGATTCTTTTACATACACATTAGAAGCACTTAGAAGATCTGTTGAATATAATGTAGTTACAACAGTACTCAGAACTCTAGCACATTTTCAGTAGAGCAAGCAACTCTCTCCCATTCCTTATATGAAAAATAAAATAATATTTCACTCTAGATTGATCATGGATTTTTTTTATTCTTCCTTATCCCCAAGTCTTTAAATCTGATAGCTGCTTCTCCCCCAGAACCTATCCCAATATCTACTACTTTCTCACCCACCATCCCAACACCTTTATGGAGTCTGTTTCAAATGTAATACCCCAACCTACTAGCCCTTATTCTGCTAGGATTCCTTTCCTTGGTCATGTTTGTTGCTTCATTGCTGTCTCCATGGTTCCTATGATTTGTAGTTGTTCAAAGTTTATGCTTTGGAAGAGAGGATGGGAAAGTCACTGGAGAGTGGGGGGAACATGGACAAGAGAAAAACAAACCGTGTTCTTGGCTCCTTTCCTGTCTATTAAGTAGCTGTAGCTCCTTAATAACCTTGGCACTATTCCCATGAATATATCTCAAAGGATATATTTCACATAGATATATGTATGTCTAGACTAGGTAGTCTGATTTCACTTGTTCTTAAACTGAATTTTGAAACCAGCTTAACCCTTGTTTTCCCTTCTTGGCAGATCTCTCTTGGTTTATTTGGCCTTATTCACCATTTATTCCATTTTTCTTGGTTTAGGAGTGTCTCCCCAGACTTTCTTTAATCCCACCACCATTTCAATCTGTGGTCTCTTTAGCAAGGACAAGGGGAGGGAAGAAGGAAACAAAGGAGGGCAATAATCATTGATTTGGGCATGATCCCTAAGCTAAACAGATGTGAGAGGAAAAAAAGAATTGGCACTTCATCTGGACCCCAGTGGCTCATGCCTATAATCCTAGCTACATGGGAGGCAGAAATCAGGAAGGATCGAGGTTCCAAGCCAGCCCAGGCAAATAGTTTCTCAAGACCAGTCTTGAACAAACTCATGACAAAAAAGGGCTGGTGGAGTGGCTCACGGTGTAGGCCCTCAGTTCAAAACCCAGTACCACAAAAAAAGAATTGGCATTTCAGAGATTTCATATTGAGCATCTACTCTATTCAAGTTACAGAGACTTCACAGATAGAGAGGAGATGAAATTAAGATGTATGTTGAAAGATAAGTAGGATTTTAATAGACAGAGATGGAGGAAAGCAGGGTGTTCCAGACACAAGGAGTAGCATAAGCAAAAGTAAAAGTGAATAAAGTAGACAGGCACAACAGTGGTGCCCACCTGGAGTTCCAGCTACTTGGAGGGCTGAGGTAGAGGATTGTTTGAGCCCAGGAGTTTGAGGCTAGCCTGGACAACATAGTGAGACCCTGTCTCAAAACAAACGAATAAAGTATTGGGCATGTTCAGGGAATGGTAATTTAGTTTAGCTTGAAGAGGACACAAAGGGAGTAGTTAGGGACAGAAATGGAGATCAAAGTCCTGTTATAAAGGCCTTGAATACACATGTAGGTGTTTACGCCTAGTTTTTAGCATTAGGGTCTTAGCAAAAGCTGTTGAGCAAGGCAATGACATTATCATGCCTGCAGTTAGGACATTAACCTAGTAGCAATTGTGTAGGGCAGCCTGAAACAGGGAAAGCCTAGGAGGCAGGGACACTGGATAGGAGGAGGCTAAAATATTTCAATGCAGTTGTTAATGCAGGCCTGGCCAAGTTTAAAGAATAATCAAGAGAAATGTGTCTCAAGAAATGATTTGTCAGGGGCAACCCATTCAGGACCTCTCCCTGTCTCTTGTAGGAGCTTTGTCCTCTCTCTTGATAAACTTCTTGCAAAAAAAGAAAAAGAAAAACAAACAAACAAAAAAAGAAAAAGAAGTGATTTGTCAGAAGGGGTTAAGAGAATATAACAGAGTAGTGAACTTGTTTAAAGTATACTGCATGCAACTATGGAATTATCACAATAAAACCACCTTGTGCTATTAAAGTATGCTAATAAAATAAGTTGTTCACATAAAAAAGAAAGGATTTGTCACTGTCAAATATGCAGAGAGCACAAGAAATACAAGGACTGATAAAAGGCATCTGGACTTAGTAATTAGAGGCTATAGGTAACCTTTGAAAAAGGAATTTCAGTAGGATTTTGGAAATAGATGCCAAATCATACAGGGTTAAATAGTATGTCTTGAGTGACAAAGTGGAGGTTACAAGTCTGCACTCATCTTCAAAAGTCTGGCAGTAAGGAGAATATGATAGAGCTCAATTTGAACAAATGGTCTAGCTCAAGTTAGAGAGTGGGAATTTGTAAAAAAACCAAATGATTTCTTCTAACAGAGTAATCCAAATTCTCAGCAATGGAAATTCCATGTATCACAAATGATTATATTGACATATAAGTAAACAAAATGTAGATTGATGAACTCAGAGTGGAAGCAATATTAGAAATCCATGCTTCCAACTGTAATGTGTTTCCATTTAAACATGGGATTCTACCAGGGGAATGTTTTTAACAAGTACATGTGACCTGTTGCAACACCAGTTCCTGAAATTGATATCTCATAAATAATTCATGGTGCAGAGCAGGACTATGATCCCTGCTGTGTGTTCTCACTTATGGCTCTGAACTGAGACTTACAGCTTTTATAAAGCCACTGAATGCAAAAAATTAGGGCTGAACACATAATTTGGGGTCTGGTTAGACTACGGGCCTTGGGTTACCATCACAAAATTATGGCAAATGGTTACTTTGCTGTGGCCCCTAGCAATCTGCAGAATGCCTGCACATTTTAACAACACAGAACTAGAACTGACAAGATGACTCTAATTTCAACCTTGCTTCATTAATATGAAAATGCTTTGAAAAATAAATCTTTGGCTAATGAAAACACATCTGTTGATGGCTTTTTGCCACTGTTTTCTTACATTATGAGACATAATTTGAGGAAACAACTGAACATTTACTTACTCACTTCCTATTCATTTACAAGGAATTAAAGCCTCCTCTCAAATTGGAATTGATTCTCATAATGAATGTATGCAAAGGGAAGCAGAGAATTGAAGTAATTATGCAGTCTATTTCCTTACCCCTTCCTTATCATGCTTAACACTGACAAGTCTTTTAGAACTAAAATTTCTGGGCCAATCTAAGTTTGAATGATTTGATTGATTTGGCCAAGTAATTATCTTGTCTATACTCTGGCTGAGTAAACAAAGAGCATTTGTATGTGTGTGAGTGCATGTGTGCGTGTGTGTGTGTGTGTGTGTGTGTGTGTGTGTGTGAAATCTCTTTATGACAAAATAAACATGTCTCTTTGTTGTTATTCAGTTTTGAAGAATTGGCTTGTTTTTCTCTTTTCTTATACAGTCCAGTTAATGACTGGGCCAGGTTCCCTCTGTCCTAGCCCAGTTAGTATGACTTTCTCAGAACAGTTGAACTGTGATAGCAAGTTAGCCAAAGTGGCAGAGGAGATTGTAATGGAGATATCTGCTGGGAGGAAATGGGGACAGGAGATTGGCAGACAGAGCAGGATGAAGCTCCATTTCCTGCTGCAGGAGGTTACCTCTACATTCTTCTCTGCTTCCCTTTTGTGAGGGGTAGAGAAGCCATTTAGCTTATGAAACTGTGAGACTCTCTTCACCTTCAGATAACACATCATTCTGGCTCTCACAAAATTGTACATGTGTCTAAACAGCACAAAGTGAAGGGAAGATTTGCATTACTGAGATTTTAAAAGGCCTGCGTTAGCTAAATTGGCAGTGTACACTGATTCCATTTTTACCTAAGTTCCATTTCATTTGTGTTGTATGGATTTGGCTTCTTTGAGCTCTGTAGTTACCTTTCCCAAACATGAACATGCTTTGCTATCTGAGAAGCCAGGCACAGGCCATTCTTCCAGACAGGATTCCATTTTTTAAAAATGGCCTCCCTAATCCTCTCAAATAATTGCTGTTGTTTTTTTTTTAACTTCTGTAGACACAGATTATTTAGGGTTGCTTTCTCATTCAAGAAACCTAGTCACATATCAAAACATCCGCTCCCCTTTACCGTGTGAGAGATTACTCTTATGGCACAAACTGGACCCTGATGTGCACTCATCATGCTCTGTGAGGCCAAAGGTATTCACACACATGAACATACTTACAAACGCTGACCTGACACAGTAGTTTTTGAAGGCTAAAACGGCCTTTCTTCTTGCTCTATTGAAACAGTTAGTATTGCCATTGAATGCCTGTATTCTCTCTCACTTTCCGAAAGATGCAAGAGGAACACTACTTAAACCTAGGCAAGCCTACAATCTTGGGGTTTTGATGTGAGAATTTAACCTTAGGATAAAGGATGGAAGGGAGAAGTGAAGAAGGAAAGAAAAGCCAAACATGTCTCCAATTGACAGAAGACAACTTCATCTTTAAAAATAATCTGAGCCACTGACCCCATTCCTATTCTTTGGGCATCCTCTTTTTTTTTTGACATTCTGTCTATACACTGGCATCCATGTTCTTCCAAAATTCAGAAGCAAGAATTTTTTACATGTTTGGGGAGTCACATTCTACCTTCTTTTTTAAATGCTTGTCTTAAAATACTTACTTTGCTTTTGCTTCAGTCTGTCACTTTTATGTATCAATTACATATGGCCTTTCAACAACAGAACACCATCTGGTCCACAAACTGAAGCTCACACTCTTCTGCCAGAGCTTATTCTTTTCCAAACATTTATTTGCTGTTGTATAGACACAGGCTACATCCAGAATGAAATGCAGGTGATATACTAGATGTGTATCACATAGGTCCACTCTATTTGAGGCTTATTAGAGAATGACCAGATCCCTCAAGCTAGGTGAAACAGGTTGTTGTCCCTCTTCTTTGCAGAAGTCCGTGCAATCATTGAGCAAAGACCCTTCTCTCCCCCCCCCATCAGGAATGCTGCCCAAACCATCCTTCATTCTGCCCCCAGTTTTGGATGCATTGCACAATTAAATCGCTAGCTTAAATGGGCAAATTATTATTTGGACCTTCTAAAAGAAAACCTAAATACAATGTTTATTTTGATAACACCCAGAATAGTGAGCCAAAGCCAACTCTACTTTCCTGGAGGTCTTGGAATTATAGCCCACTTGTACTATTCGCCTTCAGTGCCAGGCTGTCTTGTACATCATCTCCTTTCTCTGTCATCTGCTCTCCCTTAGTGTCTAATTTCAAGTCCATGGAGTGTTCAAGGCTCAATCCTAGACCCCCGCAACTCACTGCTGCACAACTGTACCTCCATCCTGAAAACACTCAGATCATTTCTCTACTCTAGCCCTGATTTTGCAGCCACTGGAAAGGCTTGAATTTCAATTCCTTCTAGGACACTTACTCTTTCTGCTCTTTTTTTTTTTTTTTTTGGTGGGACTGGAGTTTGAGCT